TCCTTTAAGAAATTCAATTTCTGCCATAAACCCATAAAGCTTTGTGAAAATCACGATAAACTCGAAAATTGTACTCTTAATTTAGACCTTTAACGTGCAATCCCAGGAGTAGTGCCTTTAGAGCGCATCTCAAAGTTCCCACGTTTCACGATTTTAATAAGCTTACATGTACATCCTCTTCGCCCTGTATTTCTTTCACCCTTTCCAAACTAACATTCGTGAGTCGACTTTTTTTTTCACACGGAAGTGCAGTGACTTCTCTGTATCACATGGTTTGTTCACCCATAACACGTGACCAAGCTAGGGCAAGAATATCTTGGGAACTAGGGCTTTCTAGAGGGGGTTTTAATAGGCGATTTCCGAGTTGCTTTTTGCCTCTCTGTCAAAAATAGTCTTCCTGCGAAACCATTCATATGGAAATGGCTTCCCCCTACAGGTTCATTTTCATGCAAATCAAACCCATTTTCATAAGAAAGGTTTTGCACAAGGACTCGTTTTGAAACCGAGGCACAAGGTAACTCGGAAATGACCTATTAAGATCTTCTATTCTCTATTTTCCAGTTGCCCATAATTCACTCTGTTTGCCCCTCCCCCCTCCCAAATTTTGCACTTGGGAGGTCTGCATATTCCCAAGAGCATTTCACAACAATAGTTTATGCAAAATTTGGGAACAAACAGAGGGAATTATGGGCAATTGGATTTTAAGAATGTCAGTGATAGCATATCATGAAATCACAGCTCTTTCGTAAATAGACCTTTTTCGCTTGGGCGGTTTGTTTTCCAATGCAGACCGCGTGATATTCTCTAGAGAATTGTTCTTTTATCCATCTTAAAGATATTTATTCATATGCACGTGACTATTTGAAAATTTGAAAAATTCTCAAGAGTATCATCACATGGTCTGAAATGGGGCAACAAACCCCCCAGTCGAAAAAGGTCTTGCAATTCGTGAGTTAGCTTCATGAGTGCGAAATTGATTCGATCATCTGTAAATTCTGCCGTGAAACGAATCCTCCGTGGAAAAAAAGATGGCGACTGGCACATTTATTCTACCTGTAATTTGTACCAAAAGTGAACCTTAACAATGCTCATAAAAACGTATAGAAAAGTTCTAATAACTTCAACCTAGCATACACAATGTCGTAGTACAGGAACAAATTTGCAAAAGTATGTTTACCTAAATGGGCTGTATTATGGAGGGTTGTAATAAAATGTACAGCCCCCATCTCTTTTTCTATGGAGGATTGGTTCAGTTTACCAGCGAGGGTCATGTCATGCTATACATTTGGGTCTTGATCTCTTTGGTCTGTTCCAGAAGACTGCAAAACTTGGAGATGGATATGATGACAGAAACTCCAGGGAAAAGCCATTTTCTTTTACTGAGAAAGAAACATTTTCTGGCGTCAACATCCTGACTGCTTCAGAGGTATGCATGGACGCAGAAATACTGTGTTCTGTTCGCCCTAGGCATGTGTTGAACCTTTGAACCCATATGCAACTCAGGTGCAAGTTCTCGTGTTACGAGGAATAGTCTTTGAAACCACAGTGAGCAAATGACGACTCGTTGCAAAGGAACATAATTTCGTCTAAGCGCGGGAAAACGCATTCGACCAACTGCTTCTGGTTTGTATTTTGATTAGTTGAATAGGTGTCGCGAGCGTTTTTAACCAATCAAAGCAACGCAGATTTCGTTCGCCATCAATAAAAAATGCTTTAATTAACGGTCATTAAATTGGTTATGACAAGTATGAAAAAGCAGAAAATCGCTTTTGTTAGTGTCATATTTATTGCTTTATTGTAATAAGTCATTGAGACATAAAAAGCTGAATTTCTGGGGATAAATGATTAATTTCTATATTTATTTTACTTTTTTATGTCTGAATGCTGTCATGGTTATATTTTTGTGACAGAATTGTAGTCTTCTAAACTCTTTGATCTTTTACCCAACCAGGCGGCTCTAAACAAGAAAGTACCAATAGAAGAAGCGGAACTTTACTTCAACTTGAGTGATAAAGTCAGACAGTTTACTGAAGATTACTTTCAACTGGACACACCGCTGTACTTCTCTTATTCTCACTTAGTGTGTAGAACCTCGCTCCTTGGTAAGTGAGACGTAAATCTTCAATCAATCATCTGTGACTGACCAAGCTCATTTTGAAATGCACTTTACTTAACTGCAGGATAAGACTTCTTAATGACGTTTGGCTTCGCTATTTTGAGTTCTCCCTCCCAAATGAACCTGATTTCCGATTGGCTAATGGAAAAGATTACCATCAGAACGAGAATGACAAGACTGTCCGGCAGAGTAGTCTCACTAACACAGTGAAATCAAACCTCCCGATTACTCGAAGTACTGAATAGTGTGTTCTCGTGGCCAAAATTTGGGAGAAATTTACTCTCGGTTTTTCGACCCTTCTGACTTTGCGAACCAATTTCCGTTCTCTCAGGTGGTTCGAAATATCTGAACCCAGCATTTCACTAGGTTAATTTATCTTACTTCAGATCCCAATGGACCTGACCCAGGTTTCCACTTGAGCCACCCAATTCACTCGGACAACTGTATACTGAACATTGATGGACTGGGCACTTGCCCAAAGAGGTCACCAGCTTACACGTGGAGAGACTTCAGGTATTGTCAGACTGTTTATTGATCATGGTACGAGCTCGAGGCTTCGATGTAGTGCCAGGCCTCGCAACCTATCAGTAGTAGAGGAAATGTGAATAGTGAGTTTTATTAAATTCTAAGCCTCGGATGAAACATTTCTAACTCTCGGATTGGTTCACAGACTCTGTTATCAGCCAATATACATGTACCTCAGCTTGACCTTTCATGAAAAATGAGCGCGCTAATTTTCGTTTAGCAAATATTTTTTAGCGCTAAGTTAGCGTTTCATCGGAAAAAATAGCTATAGATTGCAGTTTAGTAAGCTTTCTACCGTGCTAATATAGAAAAAAATACTGTAATTTTTACCTTAATTTTGTTAAAAGAATTTGAAACATCCCCCAGTGTCTTTAAAACCTGATTTCCATCACCTTTTGTATCTAAGGCGCGGTTCATAAGTCGCATTTCTGCCGTGTCGAATTCAATTCAATTAAGTGCGGCAGAAATGCGACTGTCGATTCATACGTCGCACTTGTGTCGAATTTAATTCAGAATTAATACTGTCGGGTATGTCGGTCAGCGGAAAATGTTTTAAACGCAGAGTATTCAATATGGCGAACGGAGACACTGAGGGACGAAGGACTCTAATTTTTGCGAAAAATTGTCCGCCAGTGGAATGAGAAGGAGAAGGCTGACAATGCAGCAGTTTGTTTTACAATATTTTTAGGTTGCATTGGGTCGAGAATAGCCAAGTTTCTTCTTTCTCTTTGACGGGATCAAATTCACGCATGCTCAATACATTAACATAATGTATGAATTAGATTCGACACGGCAGAAATTCAACGTTTGAATCGGTGTCGCATTTCTGTCGGATAATGCGACAAGACCAGTCGAACGTGCGGCAGAAATGCGGCAGCCGATTCAGACGTCGAATTTCTGTCAAATTTAATTCGTTGAATTGAATTCGACACGGCAGAAATGCTACGTATGAACCGGGCCTGAGATGCTTTGCAATCGCGCGCGCTCGTTTTCTAACAAAGTTTGATTAGGATAATATAGAAAGTGTTATGTAACTCTTTGAGGAATGTGTTGATATTGTTGGTAGAGACGATCTGCTGACATCCGTCATTGTATGGTTCCTTTTTAGTGCTCTGCTATATCTGAATGGTGTATTGTTTCTTTGTAGTGCTCTGCTATATCTGAATGGTGATTTCAAAGGAGGAGAATTCCTGTTTGCTAACCCTGATGACTCAATTCAGGTATAGTTCAATGTACTCAACAATTGAATGAAGCTTCACAAAGTTTACAATTGACCTTGAATGAATGAACGAACGAATGCACGCACGCACGACGGAAGGAGGGAACGAACGAGCGAACGAAAGAACGAACGAACGAACGAGCGAGCGAACGAGCGAGCGAACGATCGAACGAACGAACGAACGAACGAGCGAGCAAGCGAACGAACAAACGAGCGAGCGAACGAACGAGCGAACGAACGAACGAACGAACGAACGAGCGAACGAGCGAACGAACGAACGAGCGAACGAACGAGCGAGCGAGCGAACGAACGAACGAGCGAGCGGACGGACGGACGGACGGACGGAGGGACGGACTAACGAACGAACGAAGGAACGAACTTTATTTAATTGTGGGATTATTTAGCTTCAATAACTAATTGTGGACACTCAAATAAAAAAGAAAATAAATGAATAGATGAATGAATAAGAGATATAAATTTGTACACATATACTTCCTGTAATTGCCCGGTACTTCCCTTCAGTAGAGGTCCTGGTCAAATATGTGTACATGCAACCTCCAATTTTGACCGTATACGTCGAAGGCTCTCAAAATAACCGGAGCAATGTCACCCGATGACCGTGAAAGTAATGAAAATTTCAAATTCCTTGACACGGTTGGTTTTTTTAGTAGATCTACTGCGTCTCCAAATTTGGCGGTCACTGAACAATTCCTCTTTAAGTTTCTCCTTTTATAAACTGGCCTTCTGCGTCGTTGCTGCTTTTGTAAATCCCGATTAATTCTTGAATATCATGTTCTTGATTCGCAGGCTAAAGTGAAACCAGAATGCGGACGAGCCGTGGCTTTCTCAGCTGGACTGGAGAATCTTCACGGTGTTGCTGGCGTATTGGGGGGACGCAGATGTGCTCTGGCGTTATGGTTCACTTTAAGACAAAAACACGACGAGCAACAACGAAAGGTTGCCTGGAAAACTCTGCAAAAGGCCAAGGAACTCAAGCGGTTGGAGAAATCACCACTTTTTACACCAGAAGTCGCTTCTCACGTTGAACTTTAGCAAAGGCTTTCTTTCTTTACTCGGTGGAACAAGTTCGGTTTTTGGCAAATCTTCGTTGAACCGCTCGAGCGTGTCCGAATCTTTTTATCCAATCAAAATATAGGGCGAGTACTCACGAGTATTCCGATGTTGTTGCTGAGCAATAGATGTTACGAAAACGAGTCGGAGTTTCGCTGTCAACTGTTAGTTGTTCCCCCGACGGTCTTTTTAATTGTACTTCAGATGTTTAAAAATCCTTGCTGGAAGGAACTTTGTTATTATATTTTAGGAAGTTAATGTAATGCTATGGTCATTGTCGACTTGGTCGTGTTGCAACAGTTTTCATAGTGGTTATAGTGGGCATAGGATGAAGAGGAAGTAAAAAGCGGGAAATGAGCAAATGGCCTCCTTTGCCATGTTTTTCTTCTCTTCGCAGGCTGCAACCTCCAGACCGGTAGATCAGATGTCGTCTGTTGTGGGTGGGTGGCAGCTCTCGTAAGATCTCACATGTATGGTTCGATAACCGTTAAGAAAACAATAGAACAAACAACAGAAACAATGCCCCCCCTAGCCCACAGCAATAACAGCTGTTACACTATGATGACAAATAGAATTACAAGCTTAAGAGAGCTGTTACACTTCCGGGGGTCAGTCGTGGAAAACAAATTACCTTGATGGCAACATAGTATCTCTACAGTTCGTTGGTTGTCCAATTTTACCGGAGCAAGAGAGGGCGGCAATTATAGAAGGCCGTGACTCGTCACTTTGCTTATGGCACCTTCCAACACTTCCAAGTGCCAAAAAATACCAATAGTATCTTTTAATTATTAGATATTTTTTACTTTTTAAAAGTCAATTCGGGATTTAATTAATTTTAATAAATTTGTTGGCGAACAAAACTACGCCAAAATTATCAAGGATAAAATTATATGCGAAATGAATATTTCTCAGAGTATGAAATAAGCGATAAATCGTTGGAAGACTAAAATTAAAAGTTGCCAGACGGAAATTTAGTATTTGTAGGAGACAGTAATAGACATTTTTATATTTTCTTTGATAACATCAAATTTACAGACATATGTAGAGTCACAAACGTCTTTAAATGTTTTGAAACAGACTATGAACCAAAGCGAGAACTTTGGATCGCCTTCCAAGTGAAAAGCAATCAGACACAACATACGGGTCTTTGTAGTCTACGTCATCAGGATCGGATTCTGGACGTCATTTAAGCGGGGACTGGGACGATTGCCACTAGCGAGGGACTAAGCATTGCGACGTACTGGGGAGCTTCCAGCAACATAAAGAAAACACGATTTATAAAATTATCCATTTACAAATCATTAACCTTAAATTATAAAGTAGATTTATATGCGTAAAAGTAATTAAAAATAAAGCTGGGCCAATAAAACAAATAGCAACCTTGTTTCCAGAAAGTTGTGTTGCTCTCGCTTCTCGATTGAAGTGCATTGCAATACATCAAATATTAATTGTAACAGGACAAATTTTCAATATTGCCATTCTCATGAAATTTGAAGTCTTTTAGTCAGAATGTTTTTTCCCTGTAGTGATGTCTTTCCTTTCGCCAGTTTTGGTGCCGTTTTCGTTTTACGCCAAACTTATTAACCACGCAGCCCTGGGCGTGCTCGGTTCTTAAAATGAGTGGCGCTTTTTTGTCGCCTATTTCTGGCGTAAGTGGAAATAAAATTGAAGAGGTGGTTTTTGACCTTCTGTTATGGCGAACTGGTCGTTAAGAGGTGGTTAAATGTGTAGTGGAGTTACAAAAGTAACCGTGACCGTTGTGGAAAGTTGGGCAACTGTAAACATTTTAAATCTTTGGAAAAGAAATCTTAGATTGGATTTTGTCATTATATCTCTCTGTAAAACTTCAAAGCCTTTTTTCAGGGACTCCGGGGCCGGGCGGCGGGGGGGAGGAGACGAGACGGTGTGCACGGACGGAAAAGATGTTTCCTTAGAAATTTGTGGTCTTCACAAAATTTTCTTCCCATCGTAGTACAGTACCAATGTTGTCACCAAACCGTCCGACCACGCCTTGCGTGCCTATCTTGGTTAACGAGCACCGACACCTTCAGTTGGCAGGCCTTGGCTCCGTAAACTAAGAATAAGACACGTTGTGCATTTAAAACGGAGCGACAAATTTCAAGCTCCCGAAAACAGATGTACAGTGTTTCATTGGGGTTTTTAGTGATATCACAAAAGACTTCAAGAGTCAACTTCATGAAAACTATTCAATGAATTTCATTTGAAAGACCCATACATTTTTTAGAAAATAACATTACATGATTACCACTGAGTGCATGCTTTACTCGAGATTTTTTCATTGATATTATTGTATGCTCTATTGTTTGACGCACAGAAATCTCCATGAAATATTTTGATGCAGCAAAACACTTTCCTAGTAGGTGCTATGAATTTTACTTGTGTACATTAAAAAACTCTCATAGGACATCCCGTTGAGGGTGACAAAGGTGGGGCACCAATCACGCATCACACTGAATTTTTCTATTAAATCACGCATTACGGAGAATTTTCATCGATCACGAGTCATGTAAAAAAGAAGTAAGTACATCGCCAATTTTACTTTCTCGACCCTAAAAGCATCGTTAAAAGAAGAACTCCGCCGATTCAACCACAAAAACAGCGGCATCGGCAAATATGTGACCTCTCACGCGAAAACGTTCCTTACGGTATCCGTTCGAACGGCTGAACGTAAGGCAATTAAGTGAACGGATAATCTACTTGTTCCAAGATATCTTAAGACCACTTGGTTCTACATGAGTTGATAACCACTGAACTGAGTAATGACTCTAAAAACGATTTAATGAAATACAAACTGTGAAGGTAAATGTGAGGGATTCATGAGACGTGGGCTGTGTAGGTATATGTTGGGAATTAATACGATAATAGCTGTGTGGGCATATGTGGCGGATAATGAGGTGTAGGCTGTGTAGGCATATGTAGGGGACTAATGAGATGTATGCTGTGTAGGTATATGTGGGATATTAATGAGATGTATGCTGTGTAGGAACGTGTGGGAGATAAATGAGACGTAGGCTGTGTAGATATATGTAGGGGATTAATGAGGTGTATGTTGTGTAGGTATATGTGGGGTATTAATGAGATGTATGCTGTGTAGGCACATGTCGGAGATTAATGAGATTTAGGCTGTGTAGGTATGTGTAGGGGATTAATGAGATGTAGCTGTGTAGGTATATGTAGGGGATTAATGAGATGTAGGCTGTGTAGGTATATGTGGGGAATTCATGAGATGTAAGCTGAGCAGGAATATTTTGGGGGAATAATAAAATGAAGGCTGTGAGGGGATATTGGGGGAAAATTTAGGGGGATGGTTGAGGAAGAATACTTGATTATATATGCAGGAGGTATTGTTTTAAGAGAGATTAAGAGAGATGTGTATATTGCGGTGGAGTTAACTGGCCGCCCAACCATCCGGGTGGTGTCGCACTTTTAAAGCGAAAGAACAAAAGGCTAGGCTGTGAGCCAATGAGAAAGCACTGACGTGATAGCCAAACTGGGCAAACGAGTTTCTGACACCGGCTGGATTTGATTATTCAAAATGGCGGACATACCTTGATTAAGGCTATATGCTAATTTGCCAAACATTCTTTTCATGCACGCTTATGTTCTGTAACGGCTTTGTAATTTATGCTATACACACAGTTATATATTGAAATACGCGTTCACCTTGTGTATCTTGAGTTACAGTAGCCAGATTAAGCCTTGACTGATGAGGTTCGTTTAAGGTTCTCTCTGCCATCTTACATTACATGTTAGCAGCGAAAGGGTAGTTGAAATTCGTCGACAACGCGTACCGTCCACGAATGCCTACGAGCGAAAACGACTTCCGGTGCCTCGCCGCCT